GGGAGACGCGGGCTTGGCGCGGTGCTGGGGCGCAGACGCCCGCCCTTCGGCGCGGCGGGGGGGGCAGCCCACAGCCCGAGCGGTCTGGCGGGCGCCGCGCCCCACAGACCCGGCACAGGCACGCGCAGTTCCGTGTAGAACGAAAGCGCTTTCAGCCCGGAGCGTTTGCGCTGGACCGGGCCAGGAAGCCCCTAGTGCGGCCTCGTCTGCGCCCGAGCTGGCCTGCCTTTCCGAGCCTGCGGCCCCTGCGGTGGAAAGACGCGAGCACCACCGTGCAGGGCGCGGCATTTCCCCCAGCCCAGGGTGTTCATTCTGAAATGGGAACGAGCTGCCTGCTGCGGGGTCGTGCCCTTCGGTGTCAGTTCTGGCGCTCGGACACGCTCCCCCTGTCTCCACGTTGCCCTTGGTTCTGGTGCCTGAGCAAGAGGGGCTTCTGCTTCCGGAACAACTCTTCAGAGAGCCTCGGTCTGGTCCTCTTCCCCACAGACAAAAACTAGCCCACGCCCTGCTCAACATTTTTTTTTAAATTTATTGGACTTTATTTATTTTCGTTTGACCAGAGAGAGAGAGAGTGAGAGGAGGCAAGCCGTCAGGTGCGGGACTCGAACCGCCGTTACCCATGTGGGAATCCAGCATCCTTAACCATCACCATCACCCCACCTGCCGCCCCCCCATTCTGACCCGGCTGAGAATCATCCTTAAAAATTCCTTAAAATGCTTTTTCTTTCTGTGACCTCTCACTGTGACCCCGCTCCTGGCCACCCCGCAGTGCAGGCTGGGCGGGAGGCAGGTGGCTTACATGGGCCGGTTTAGGGACTAGGGGTTAGGTCTGCCTGTTGTGAATCAGGAGGAAGCCCAGCTGAAAAGCTGGTTCCCTTCTTTCTCTTTTCCTGGCTTTTAAACAAGTCTGTTTATTTTATTTATTTTGGAGAGGTTTTCACTATAGACAGACACATAGAGACTGAAAGTGAGAAATCACCCCCCCCCGGGGGGGGGTGGTCACACAGCAATCCATTCTCCTCTCGGGATCTTGGGCACGCATGCCTACGCACCCGACATGAGTTTTAAGCCCCCAAGTCCTGGACGCGAACCTCGACTACATGGGAGTACAGCGACATAGCCATTATGCTAACTGCCGGTTCCCAAGAGCTGTTTATTTTAGAATGTCAGGTAAGCATGCACAGGACACCCACCCTCCAGGCACCAGGACCGTGACTCCAGAGCGAGGGTTAGAACTCGTATTTTACTGCACAGAAGATTGTCTTCATAAATACCTCCTCCAGATAAAGAGCCCTCCAGCTGACACAGTCAAACTGCTTGTGGGGTCCTGTTTACTATTGCAGTTACCTTAATCGGAAAGAACCGAATTTCCTCACACTTAAGATGTGAAGTCTCCACCTGGAGACGGACTTGTGATGTGTATTACATGTACGGCGGCTGCTGCACGCGTGCCGACCCTCCACACCCTCCCTCAGGGGAACTCACAGTTTTAAGTCTGACTCCTGGAGGGAGATGACCCCTGAGCCTCTGTCCAGTCCCTACTGTCTGTTGATGGCCAATGAAACGTTTTCCTTGCTCACAGAACTCAGTGTGCTTATGGTGTGTCTGCGGTGCACAGGGCAGCTTACCCCGGGTGGGTGAAACTTCCACTCCCACCTAACCCAGAAAGGACTAACCGGGAGGTTGGGACACCCTCCGTGACTGGGTGGGCCGGGCATAGGCGGCCCTCCCTCACCTCGGGTATGCCCAGGGCGCAGTTGGCTTTCCTTCCTCAGGGTTGATGGCATTTTACAGAGAGTTATTTCGTTTTGTGTATTGTTACTATATTTTAGTTTGTGACAGGGCTCTCGTGGGCTCTTGAGAGAGTGAGAAAGCAAGGCCACAGTCTGGGACCCAAGCCAGGGTCTGCCCTGTGGGGGTGCAGCGCCTCACCGGGCCACTGCTGGCCCTGATGGCACTGTCTTACCCAGGCGGCCTCTGCAGGCAGGCGAGTGACCTGGGGGGGTCAGGGAGAGCAGGACAGAGTAGGCAAGGAATAGGGAGAAGGGGTGGCCGGGACCTGGTGTGCACTGGCCCCTTCCTCAGTGGTAACTGTATCCTCTTCATCCCTAGTTCATGGAATTTTGATGTGTTCAACTTGCTTATTCTCATTTCTGTTACTATACCCTGACCTAAATTATTACATCAACGTGTCAGTTGGCAAAAGTTTTTGAAAGGAATTAGCAACTTGATAAATGTATCCAGTCCCATTGTTTCCCTCACTGTGGTCTTTTTCTCCAGCAATTCTCATATCACCTAGGGGTGAGAATCATCCTTAAAAATTCCTTAAAATGCTTTTTCTTTCTGTGACCTCTCACTCAGAAATCTCTAAAGTTTCCTTTTAGCCTCTGGATGTTGCCCAAACTCTTTAGCATAAAGGCCTAATAAAAGAAAATACAACTTTGGGACCAGCAGATGGCATAGCACTTTTGTGGCTGGACTCCCACATGGCATACCACGGTTTGAGTCCAGGAGCACGTGTATGTGTGCCCAAGATCCCGGGATGAGAATGGAAGAGAAGGGATTGTGGTGTGGTCACCCTCTCCAGGGTGATTTCTCAATTTTCCTCTGTCTCTCTGGTGAGTACATACACCCAAGGCCAAAATCTCTTTAAAAGTACAAATTTTAGAGGGTGACAGGTGGCATGGTGGATAAAGGTGCTGGTCTCCCACATGGCCAGTCGCTGACCTTGGTTCCAGTCCCAGAACTGGTGGCTTGCTGGGACCAACAGTTGGCGTAATGACTATGTCTCTGGACTCCCATGTAGTCAACTGCAGTTCAAGTCCCGGACCTGGTGGCTTAAAACTCACAAGGGGCGTGCGTGTGTGCCCAAGATCCTTAGAGGAGAATGGAGGACAAGGGATTGTGGCATGGCCATCCCCCCTGGGGGGTGATTTCTTGCTTTCTGTCTCTCTGTCTCTCTCTGTCTGTCTGGTGAGCACACGCACACACGCGCCCTATAGTAAAAACCTCTCAAAAAGGAAAAAAAAACTGATGGCTTGCTTTCTCCCTTTCTGTCTGGTCAAATTAAAAAATAATAATAATATATGGAATTAAATAAATAAATAATCATTTTAAAACAATATAATTTTAATAATAAAATATTTAAAACTAATTATTTATTTCTGTTATTATTATTTTTTAATTTGACCAGAGAGATCCAGACAGCGAGAGAAAGGGAAAGCAAGAAAGCAAGCCGTCAGGTCTGGTACTGCAAACCTGAGCTGGCCACGTGGGAATCCAGCTCCTTTAACCACCATGCCACTTTCCAGCCCAATAATAAAATCTCTGAAGATAAATTTCTACTTGCTACCTGTCCCTGACCCAAGGGGACTAGTGACTTCTATTTATATTGGTCAAATCAGGGGACATGTCCCATCTCCAACCTAACGTTTCGAGCACTCTGCTCCGTTGACCTCTCCTTGGGTTTTCTTGTAAGCAGCAAACTTGGGCTTGCTGAGGCTGAAGGAAGGCGTTTCTGCTTCCTATGTCTCCTCTTATCTCTTACAATGGATGCTAAAGTGAATCTGGAAAGACATAATAGAGGAACAGTCAGGGAAAATACAAGATTACAATACTTAAAGTAAGAATAAGCTGACAGATATACATGGGGCATAATAGGAAGTTCACTAATAGACTAAAATGCCCACCAGAATTTAGTAACAGAGGAAATGTACAGTTGGTGTTGCCCATTCAATGGAACAACAGGCTAACTCTCTGGGAGGAGAAAAGATCTAATCTCACGTCTTACACTAACACATATTCCAGGTCAGTGAAAGATTTACATGAATGGGAAAGGGCCAGCAGGCGGTGTGGTGAAGGCACTGGACTCCCACATGGTAGACAGCAGTTCCAGGACCAGGCCTGGTGGCTTGCTTTCTCACTTTCCTTCTCTCTGGTGAGAGCACGTGCCCAAAAGCAAATTTAAAATAATAATTATAATAATGATGATGATGATAGATAAAATAATTTTTTCCTTTTTTTAGTTTTTTTATTATCATCATAATCTTGTTTATATTACATTGGATTGCATATAACTTTACAGTGTATTACATTGCTTTTTCAAAAGGGAATGCCATGCATGTCAGTCGATACAGAAACATTAATCTCCCCACTTCATCATTCAATGTCTTTTCAATGTTTTTCCCAATCATTATTATTATTATTCTAATTATTTTTTTAAACAGCCAATCACTATTTCTCATTTTGCTTGTAAAGACTTCACCCATCATGAAATACTTCTCAGACCAATCCAGTTGAGAATAATTATTTTTAAACATTAACAATGAATCTATAAGAGCACCAAGGGGGGGGAAAAACCGATAAAACACAACAATGCAACAATGAAAACTTATCCGACAAGCTAGTGGCTTGGAGTTCAGATGACTGGAGCCTACATGGGTGACTGATCTGAGCCATGGATTTGATCACTTGCAAAACATATCAGGCCTCTCTGTACATGTGTTCCGGGTTCCCC